GGGAGGAATGGGGTACGAGCCCCCGATGGGGAGGACTGGGCTGGCTCTGCAGCCCTCCAATTGCCTCCTCTCCCCAGATGGCAGGTGCAGCCAGTCTGATGGCCGAGTGCAGTTATATGCCCAGTGTGGGTACTCCGGGCAATCCAAGCCAGGACTGCTTTGCAAGCGGGGCACCCCTGAGAATTGTCTGTCCGGGGTGGGGGTCGGGTCCCTTTAAGCACAGACCTCGGCTAGCCTGAGACAGCAGCTCCACGCTCTAAGTCTTCATCTGATGCCCTGCCGGCATTGCATCCTTAAGGCTGGTTCAGGGTCCACTTAATGTGGACATGCTAGTTCGAATTAGCAAAACGCTAATTCGAACTAGTTTTTAGTTCTAGATGCGTTAGTTCGAATTAGCTTAGTTCGAATTAACTAATTCGAACTAAGTTAGTTCGAATTAACATTGTAGTGTAGACGTACCCTCAGTCATCTATGAAATGCTTTCCAAGAGCTCCCCCAGCCAGTTCAGGGTCCACTTAATGTGGACATGCTAGTTCGAATTAGCAAAACGCTAATTCGAACTAGTTTTTAGTTCTAGATGCGTTAGTTCGAATTAGCTTAGTTCGAATTAACTAATTCGAACTAAGTTAGTTCGAATTAACATTGTAGTGTAGACGTACCCTCAGTCATCTATGAAATGCTTTCCAAGAGCTCCCCCAGCCATGTAAGCTGAAAAATACAAAAGATCCCCACATCTTGAACTATCCTCTTGAAAACTAAGGGAATTAGTCTCGACCTCAGAAGCACAAGAAAATACCTGCATGCACCTCCTTGAAGCTTAAGGTGCATGACTTCCACAGAGGGTCTTTCAGGTACCGAAAATAGAACATGGCCTTCAGTTTTCCCAAAAACCAGTTTGTTCTGAGACACCTGAGCCATTGACTCAAGTGCCCTCTAAGGAATCACTAAGACTGACTATTTCTCTAATGGAAACAAAACAGTCTTTTCTGGATCACCACAGGTCAACAGCCCATATCAGTACCAACTATGCCAGAAGCTCATGACACAGCTAGAAAAATATCATGCTTGTCTGTATGAAATGAGGTCACTGGCACCAATGCATCCTTCTAGATTTTTGTCTCTTATCTCTGACACCACCTGTTTCATGCTAGGTATCACCACAATTCCACAAAGCCAGCACTGAATAACATTGGGTACCTATTAAACCATCTATGCTCTCTAGTACCATACAGCACAAGTAGGTTCCAGTCAAGGTTATAAAGTATCCCTGCCAATTAACAAGGCTATCTTGCAATTGATCAGAATAATCTCTTAGGGTATGTCTACACTACAAAGTTAATTCGAACTAACAGCCGTTAATTCAAATTAACTTTAATAGGCGCTACACATGCAAACCGCTAGTTCGAACTTAATTCGAACTAGCGGAGTGCTTAATTCGAACTAGGTGTAAACCTCATTCTACGAGGACTAACGCCTAGTTCGAATTAAGTAGTTTGAATTAAGGGCTATGTAGCCACTTAATTCGAACTAGTGGGAGGCTAGCCCTTCCCAGCTTGCCCTGGTGGCCACTCTGGGCACAACCAGGGATACTCCTCTGCCCCCGTCCCAGCCCCGGAGCCCTTAAAGGGGCATGGTAACCGCGTCTGCCCCCCTCCCGGCCCCGGAGCCCTTAAAGGGGCACAGTCTGGATACAGTGCCTGTGCCAGGTGCAAGCCTGACAGCAACCAGCCAGCAGACCCTGCACCTGGCACAACACGAGCCCACCACCCGTTGCCACCGAGCCCTCAACCTCTTCTTGGGAGCCTGCCCGGGACCGCAAGAGGTGGGCGCCCGCCTGGTCTAGAGCAGAGATCGTGGACCTCATCCAGGTTTGGGGGGAGGCCTCCAATGTCCATGACCTCCGCACTAGGCACAAGAAAGTGGCCATCTAGGGCAGGATAGCTGCCAGCCTGGCCACCAAAGGCCACATGCAAACCCAGGAGCAAATCAAGGTGGTCCTGTGAGACCCCCAACCCTGAGCCCTGAGCTTAGAACATAAAAACATAAGAACGGCCGTACTGGGTCAGACCAAAGGTCCATCTAGCCCAGTAGCCTGTCTGCCGACAGCGGTCAACACCAGCTACCCTGGAGGGGATGGACCGAAGACATAACCGAGCTATTTATCTCGTGCCATCCATTTCCAGCCTTCCACAAACAGAGGCCAGGGACACCGTTTTTACCCCCTGGCTAATAGCACTCCATGGACCCAACCTCCATGACTTTATCTAACTTCTCTTTAAACCCTGTTAGGGTATGTCTACACTACCACCTTAGTTCGAACTAGGGTGGTAATGTAGGCAACCGGAGTTGCAAATGAAGCCCGGGATTTGAATTTCCCAGGCTTCATTTGCATATAGCCGTGCGCTGCCATTTTTACATGTCCGCTAGTGCGGACTCCGTGCCGCGTGACTACACGCGGCACGGACTAGGTAGTTCGGACTAGGCTTCCTATTGAAACGAGGAGTAACAGTAGCTTCATTGCTCTGAGTTGGGGTGGACAAAGTCCAAGACTCACCACTCTGGGAAGAGGGACCAAAGCGGAAGTTTAAGAGCTTCAGCCCCAGACAAGGTGATTGCAACATGAGTCCTGCTGTCTAGGACTGAAGCCCTCAGACTTTGTCTTTGGCGTTGGGCAATGAGAGTAGGACTTTAGCTCTGGACCCCACCAAGTCTAAGCCAGCCCAGGTGATCCCATTCGAAGGGGATCGTGACAGCTTTATAATCCCAATCTACAGTTTGAGAACCACAGGGCTAGAAGTATATAAAATTTCTGTTGACAACATTTGTGGATAACACAAAGATTGACAAAATGATAAATGACGAGGGAAGGGTAGTCACACAGAATGGCCTGGATTGCATGATAAGATGAGACCATTCAAACACAATGCATTTTAAAATAGCCAAATTCATGGTCCCATATGTAGGCACAAAGAATGCAGTCCATATGTATAAAATGTGGGACTGTTTCTTGGGGAGCAGTGACTCAGAGAAAGATATAGGAGTCATAGTGCACAAATTGCACATGAGCTCCATGTGCAAAGCTGTGGCTAAAAGGTGTAATGCAATCCTTGCATGTAGGAATAGGAAAGTATGGGGAAATGATTTTACTCCTGCATGTGGCATTGATGAGCACAGCACTGAAATACTGCACATAGCTCCAATGTCTGCAGTTTTTGAAAGATATTTGAAACAGTGGAGAAGGTACAGGGATGCACAACAAACATTATTTAAGGGCTAGGAGAAAATGCCTTACAATGAGAGATTCAAAGAACTCGGTTTGTTTAATTTATCAAAACAATAAGCTTGAGAGATGAAGTGATTATCGTCACATGAGAAGATACGAACTAACCTAATGCAGAAAGGCATAGCAAGCCCCAATAGTTCAAAGTTAAAGCCAGACAAATCAAAATTAAAAATAAAGCCCTTTTTAATAGTGAGGATAATTAACCATGAGAACAAATTACCAAAGGAAGTGATGGACTTTTCATCTTTAGAAGTCTACAGACCAAGAATGAAAGCCTTTCTGAAATGTATGCTTAAGTCAGACACAATTTATTCAGCTCAATACTAGGTGAAATTCTAATTAGGTGAAATTCTGTGGTCCTAGTTATACAAATCATATTTAGTGATCTAGCTTATAAAGACTTCAAAAGGAAGCTTTCAAGACTCACCAACATAGTCTGGAAAATGCTTTTTCTGTACGCCACAGTGACCAGTACAGTTTGAGAGATGTGTGAAGAGTCCAGAAAAGTATATATTAAAGTTCCTGTTTGAAAGTCTCAACATTTCACATAGGTAACTTAAAATTGAAATCCTTTAATTGTGTCTCTAATTCTGTGTTTTCACAGAATCTTCAACTGCTTGGAGCTACAGCCATTGAAGACAAGCTGCAAGACAACGTACCTGAAACCATAGAAACTCTAATGAAAGCAGATATCAAAATTTGGATTCTTACTGGGGACAAACAAGAGACTGCTATTAACATTGGTATTGTGTTTTTATTTTGAGATGTAGTTTGATTTTTATAAGAATCTAAATTTTAATGACAATAACATCCAAGATGTGAAAGAATTAGAGCATAAATGCTTTCAGATAAGTGGGGTATATTGTAGAGGTAATACTATTATTATGTGGCATTCTGAGATTTAAATGGTAACTGCAGCTGGGGAAGTTTAAGACCAATTTCTTTCATAGTACAGCCCTAATTTAGAATTTTCTGGCTTTCTTCTGTATGCTGTTCATTTAAAAATAGTTTTTGAAGGATTTTATTCATTTGTTCCATAAATAATTCATACCTATCTACAATCAAATCCATCTTAAGAAAACTTAAGTCCTGGAAGTTCCCAACATTTTTTAAACTATTTCTTTCTAAGGTTTGGTTTAGGAGTTGGTGCTGTAAAATTGTGGCCAGCCTCAAACCACAGAACTCCTGCAAAGCATTTTATTGAATTCGCACCAAAAAGATAAATAGGAAAAAAACTTCACATTTCCTTCTAGCGCTACAAGAAAATATATTTTTTTAAAAGATGAAGTACAGATTGATGTCACGGGGTTTTTATTTTTTAAGCATTTTTAAGTAGATTTGTACTCTTATGGTGTGGACCACATGAGGGTATACTCACATGGAAGAGTTCTGGAGGCATCACTATAGTTGGTCTCATCTTCAAAACTCTTTTCTCAGGCAAATATGCTAATTGATATTAATGAAATTGGTTATGGGAATACACTTCCTCACGTGCATAGGATGTTTGCTAGCTCAGACCTAAAGAAAACAAAAACAAAAATAGATTGTCACTAAATTAGTAAACTTTGTATTTCTAGGATTGTTATACAGTTGTTATTCTTCTTGCAATATTGAACTGTTCTGGGTAGTCTATTTCTATTCCTTGTTCTTAAAGGTTAAAATAGTAGAATACCAAATCAATACTAATATGAATATGCAATGTCACATAGATTTTATGGATATTTTGATTGAAAATTTCCAGAAATCCTGGAAGAATCATTTATGCAATGAAAATACAGTTCTGTTCGAGGAGTAACATCAAAGGGATGAAAGTATTATCAGTACAAATATAATGAAAATACAGTTCTGTTCGAGAAGTAACATCAAAGGGGTGAAAGTATTATCAGTACAAATATTTGTTTTGAAATTATTTTTATATTCTATATTCCAAAACCTGCTTTTCGTGTGATTAACTACTGAAAGGAATAGATGAGAATTTTCTTAAGCACACACATTTGTGTCTAATGTACAAGCATATGTCTAACATACAAACATAAATATCCTAGCTGCATTAGCACCTGGGTATGTGTGCAAAAACTCAAATGTAGCTATTTATGCAGACAGACACCTGAATTGCAGACTCCCATTGGTTTTTGTACATGAAAGTTACAGGATTTATAAACATTTGTGCACAATTACAAACTAACTATGTTAAACTTAATTAAATGGCTATGCTATCATGTCAGATATTTTACTAATATTTTCAGTAGGTCAGAGTTAGGCCAATATTGAATGTTTTTCAAAATGATGTGTTTAGTTTAAAGAAGAAATATTTGGTTAAATTTTAACTGTTTTAGAGTAGAGCAATTATTTGTAACATTTTTTAACAGGTCACTCATGTAAACTTTTGAAAAAGAACATGGGACTCATTGTTATCAATGAAGGTTCTCTTGATGTAAGTAAAATCTGCAAATTCTTCAATATGAAAAATGATTATGAACTCCATAAAAACATTGGGGGTTTTTTTTCATTAAAATATCCAAATATCCTTTGTGAGAGGAGCAACTTTAGCATATATTAATTTAGTCTAATGTAGAAAACTGTTAGAAACTATTAAAACTAACAGTTAATTCTTTGACTTGTTTTACTGAGTTTTTGGTTAGCTAGCCAAAATAATTTGCTGTTTATTATGCTTCATGAAAGCTTCATAAGAAAAACATTGTGGTAGAGTGCTGCTGATTGGATGGAGCTAATTTGTGTCTGTTTTTCTAAGGAACATTTAATAGTTGGTAAAGCACTAATTAGTACTTAAGTATGGTATACCTTAAACATTATTCTTAGAAAACTCAAATGACTAAGCAAATATTGAAATGTCAACAATAAGAATTTGATTTATCAACTTTATCAATCATTTTAATCTCTGAAACTTAAGTAAGTGTTTGGGCCAAATTTACCCCTATTAAAATCAGATGCAGATCCACTGACTAGTGCCATGTATGTATTTTGAAATCCATATGTAATAATAGTGCCAGTTACCATTTTCTATACCTCAGATTTACTGAATACAACCTTTCTAAAAATGTGGTTAAATATAGGAGAGATAAAAATGTTACTTTAGTTCAAAAGAAACTCCCAAAAAGGGTTTTGATCCCTATGAGCATTTTCTCCCTTTAGATTTTTAAACAACGTACCATATTTTATACATTCCAGAAGAAGGTCTTCAGATCAGGAAACATTATGACTTTTAAGTGAGAACATCTCCTGGGGCCGAAAGGGGTAAGGAATGGAACTATTGTCTCCCTCTAAGGGATCCCTGGATAAAATTAAAACCACAGAACAGAAAGAAATCTTGCATTTGCATAGTTATGTTCACATCACTTGAAGATGGAGAGAAGGGATTATAGAGTAAAGAAAGAGAGAAACTAAGGGAGAGGGAGTTATCAAAGAGAAACAAAATGAGAGAGAAGAGAAGCGTGATAGCCATTGTTTTAGTAGTAGTATATAGAGGTAGTATATAGATGAAGGATACCCAACCTAGTGAAAAAGCCAAGAAATTAGAAACTAAACAATTATTTCTTCATATGTTGCTGCCGTGGTGCTGCAGAATTGAAGACTCCTTTGAGTCCAGTATCAGTAAGGCCTGTGTGAAGGAGCAGAGAAACTGCTGCTGGGGATTAAAGAAAACCTGTGTGCTCAGCTAGCCCTGCCCCTCTATATCTGCAGCCAGTAGTAGGCCTGGAGAGGGCAGAAAAGAAGGGAGCCTTGGGGATGACTAGCAAGGAGGCAGGAGCTCTGTTTGCCTGCCTGAAGGGACAGGTCAACAACCAACCAGCCAACACAGAAACTGGGGGCAAATATGTCTTCCCTTGACAAGGGGAGCCTATAGCTAAGAAACTTTAATAGTAAATCATCATGGAAATGGATCTTGAATCCCTACCTGCCCCCAGCAGAGAGACAGACCCATAAACCCATGTTTAGGGGGTTGAACCACTCAGGATCCTGATGAGAGTAAGGATCCCCCTCTAATCCCTCTGAACAACAACCTCACCACTAGTCCACCTGACCACTAACGGTTCAGTCACCGCCTACAAGGTTCTGATTTCCCCCTGCACCTTCTTATGCAATCATGTCTGGCACATATACAACTGCCCAGTTTTCATATACAAATTCAGATTCTACTAAGGAGTTGCACCCACTACTTACTGCTCTGGCCAACCCCCTTTCTCTGGCCGTTTTCATGGCCATAGAGTCTGATGAGGTCATTCTGTCAAATGCAGGAAAATCTTTTGAGAGAGAGAGCGAGAGAGAGAAAGATGTGAAATCCCGTTTGAAAATTTGCTCCCTAGGAAAAAATATGGTGACTACAGAGGTGCTATGGAGTTCCTTTTCTGACAATAACTCCACAAAAAGCACTTATCAGTATGCAAGCATGTTCCACAGCAGGGGTGGGCAATAATTTTTGTAGGGGGACCACTTCACCAATGTCGATAGTGGTTACAGGCCACTATCATAAGGAACAGGGCCTCAGTGGGAAGAGGTGGTTTTCTCTAGGCATTGCATAGAGGGGAGGACTTTGTGTGCTCCCCCATGGGGCAGGGGAGCACAGGAGGTCTCTCCCCATCCCCCACTCAGCCCTTTCAGGGGTGCGCAGAGCCCCAGAGGGAACCAGCGGTTTCTTCTGGTGCCACGTGCCCCTGGCTGGGGGTGGAAACTTTGCGCGCTCCTCCATCCCTGAGTCTTGATTGGCCTGGGGGCATGGCAGGGCGGGCTGGGGGCCAGATGAAATGGCTTGGCGGGCCAGATCCAGCCCATGGGTCATAGCTTGCCCACCCTTGTTCCACACTGATGTCAGGATGAAAGATCCATGATCACATAGAATATAAAATGTCCTTAAGTGGTTTTTTTTTATTATATGAAGGTATATATTACCAGCTGTGGAGTACTGCTCACCTTTATCAATTGCTGAACAAACACGTTTTCTGCAAAAATTGTCTAGGATCCAAATTAGTGACTGAATAAGTGTAAATGTAAAAAAACACATATATTTTACTTTTTAAAATCAGCTGACGCTATATTCCCTACCTACCTTCCAAGACCCGAGTCCAGGATTACATGTGCCTTGCAAGAATTCATTTAGAGCTGGCCCAACAACATAACTAAACTGGGCAGTCACCTACACCTGGGTGCCAAATTAGACAGAAGTGATCGTGTTCCTATTTTTAAATATATATTAATATATTATCTCTTATAAAAGTATCAAATATTGTACTTGTAAAACAGTGCATCATTGCCATGTCAGAAGTTAAGTTATATTATTTATTTCATATTGTGGAGCACAGTTGTGTATGTAAATACAATTAGAATGAAGTTGAATGTTTTGGCAAACTATGAAAATGTAATTTATGTATTTTTTCCTAAATTAATAATAATATCTAAAATATTTGAAGACGCGAGCATATTTTACTTAGATATTTGTATGTAATAATCAAAAATGTTTCAGAAACTTCCAAAATAAATTTAGATAACTAATCTAATGACCTGAGTTGGGGGAGGGGCATTGTCTGGGCTTGCCAAAGGAAGGCAATTGAGCTTTATGATGGAGGGGGAGGGAAGGAAGTCTGAAACTGATGCAAAAAGGTGGGTGATGGTCGGCTTTGCAGTGCTTACTCACCCCTGGGGGAATGTAAGTATAGAAGACGTTAAAGATGCAAGCACTGAGCATTGGAAGCCCTTTCTTCATGCAGTAGACAAGCCAGCACCACCCATCTTCCCTCCCTTGGAAGTATGAATATCAGGTTGGGTTAGGACCTGCTCTGGGCATTGCTCTCCATTTTATGAGATGCATGAAGGAATTTTTCCTTCACCATCATATTGGCTTTTGTGGAATGAAGGTTTATTAACTTTCCCCACAACAGATGTCAGGGATGATGCATTATGTTGAGGAGAAAAAGTGGTAGGTCATATGAGACGTGTGGCTCAACTTATTTCGTAAGTGTGGGATGGGTATCCAGTGCAGGTACTCCATAGGGAAGGCATCCAGTAACCAGATAAATGCCTTGTTAAAGGACTTAAAAGGGGGCTATTGTTTAAAGGAACAGAATGACGGCGAGAGGGGTTCTGGGGATCTAAAATTGGAATGGCAAGGAGCCAGTCCCCCTTTCTAATAATCTACATTCATCTTCCTATGAAGGGGTATGGATGTAAAAGTCCAAGCCATGGGTTGGTTGAGGGGCCTGGAATGAAAATGAAAGGAAGCAGGTGGAAGTCGTGGATAGTTATTTGAATAAATATGGGATTGCCTGCACTGTATATTTTTATCTGCTGGGTGGTCCGAGACATTTTAATAATAAAATCACAGCCTGTTGAAAGCCATATCAAGTGTCTTCTAATAACAGATTAATTACAGTATATGTTTGGTGATTGAAATACATCAATTGCTGTTTACTACTGCATTAAAAAGTGCATCATAATTTAATGCAGCAACAAATTGAAATAAAATTTTTTTTGTGTGTAACAGGGAACAAGAGAGATTTTAAGTCATCATTGTAGTACTCTTGGAGATGCTTTGAGGAAGGAAAATGACTTTGCTCTTATAATTGATGGCAAAACACTGAAGTATGCCTTGACATTTGGTGTAAGACAGTATTTCCTGGATTTGGCTTTGTCATGTAAAGCTGTTATTTGTTGCAGGTGAGGTTTAAGGTGTGTTCATATTTTTTGTTTCTAAAAATAAAATTCTGTCTAGACATAGATTCATTTCTTGCACCAATTTTATCGAATATATAGCTAGATAGATAATTTAACATCAGAGAAAGATTATAAAAGGTCAAAGTCAATAAAGATTTCGTACAAATTAATTGTATATTTTGTTGTTTTCATGATCACATAATATTGCACAATGGAAGAGAGTATTGTAATCCATACCATAACACAGTTAACAATCAAAAGAGGGGTCCAGGTTCTGGTTCAGAGATAACTAATCTTTACCCAACATACTATAGGGTCAGTAATATTCAGGCACAGATTTCCCCGAGGTTATCTATCCACCTTTAACTCCAACTCCTTGGCATTGCTTAGAGATCTCTTCATAGATAAGAATGTACAAGAGAACTTCTAAGACATTTCATATAAGCCTGGACTCATACCCCGCAAAAAGTACAATGGAAATATACTTTTTGCTAAGACCTTTTCTTCACAGAACCCATTCTCCTGATGACATACACCAGTCTATTCAAATTGGGAGCTCGCCATAACAAGGGTACTTATTCACGATTAGAGAAGCTTCAAAGCATCAACCTAGAGATAACAGCTTTCTCTCTTGGTTTCCTCCAGGGTCCATGCTGCCAGTGTTTTGGGGCTTCCAAGGTTACTTCCTTTTTCTTATACACAGAGGAACACAGATTCAATCAGCCAGCCTCTGTGTTTGCTGTCAATGCCAGGGAAACTCTTTCACCCATATAGTTCAGTTTCTTCACCAAACTGGAATTGCTGGTCTTTAATTTGGGTGGTGGATCCCATTATTTTAGCTATCAATACGCTCTTTAATTGATCTCTCCATTAGGCTGAATGAAAGGTATCTAGTGCTCTTGTCACCTCCACTGAGTTGCCCGTAATCAAAAACATATCTGCTTACTAACTACCTAAAATAATAAAGTGTCAGGGCATTACAGTTTCAGTGTTTGAGTTTAATGAATACATATAAGTAATCAAAGATTAATTAATCTGATTGCTTTCTGATTAAGTATTTTATGTCATGTAGCTGAAAAAGAGTGTTATTACTGTAAACAATCCTGAGATTCATCAGGAATAAAATGAAATTGTGTATATTTTCATCTTTTGTATATTTTGAATCTTTTTTAATCAGAAAAAGATATTTCTGTAATATTTTTCTAATGGTCTTAATTCAGTTACACAAAGATTGGAAATAATATAAGTGTCTGAGTAATAGCTGAAACTATATTAGCAATATTACATACAAGAGCAGGAACTCCAAGGGTGTGTCTACACAGCACCTTAAGCTCGAAATAAGATATGCAATTTGCGCTACACAAATTGCTTATCTTATTTCAAGTGTATTTTGAAGTACTTTATTTCATAATTTCGAAATGCCCCTTAACCCTCATAGAAAGGAACGTCGGAATAAGCTGCCTGTTATTTCAAAATCTACTTTGGAATAACAGGCTGCTTCAATAGACGTAGAATAACTAATTTGGGATACTTCCAGTATCCTGAAATAGCTCCACTGTGTAGGCATACCCCAAGAGATTAGGGTATGAAGAAAGTATAAAATACTCATCCTGTGATTCACATAACCATTTTGTTAGGAATATAATCATCATGTGAATCACCAGAGTGACCGAACAGATCATTTGGTGGTATCTGTCTCATAAACAGAATTTAGATTACCAGGATTAGAGAGCTAGAGGTATCAGTTGGGATCGAGAGCAAAATGTAAAATATGTTTAAAATCCCTGAAAATAGAGTGAGCAACATGGGGGATTATTATTTTATTTTAATTATTTTTTCAGTTATTTTTAATTACATTCTGGTTTATGTTAAAACTTTTATTTTCAGAATTTTACCCATTTTCTTCATATTTTTCTGAAAGGGTAGATTGAAAAAGAAAAAAAAGGAATAATACAAGAAGGAAGCATCTATGCTGAGGCTGCAAGAAAAATTGTTCCTCTATGAAACTAAACTATGAATCATCTGTCATACTCATGTAAAAAGGACCTTGTTTTAGCCTTCTGTATCAATCTGTTCCATAGCAGGACAAACAGACTCTCTAGACTTGGCTGTGAGGCATGCTTCCAGTTGGGTAAAGAGAACATTTTATTAGTACCAGGAGTTTGTATTGGCAAAGAACTTGGCTAATGCATGCAATCATAAAAACTTTTAGTAGCTGGATCCTTATTTTTAAACATTAACTTCCTTTACATAACTTCTGCTCTTGTAAATTTTTTTCAAAGGGTGTCTCCTCTTCAGAAATCTGAAGTAGTAGAAATGGTAAAAAAACAGGTAAAAGTAGTAACACTGGCAATTGGGGATGGAGCGAATGATGTTAGTATGATACAGACGGCACATGTTGGCGTTGGTATTAGTGGAAATGAAGGGCTACAGGCAGCTAATTCTTCAGATTACTCCATAGCACAGGTAAATCATTATGCTGTCAAACATATTAAAACAGAATGCTTTTCTATCGTGATCAATTTACATGTTTCTAAACTTGTTTTTTCATTGTTTGCAGTTCAGATATCTGACAAACTTGTTGTTGGTTCATGGTGCTTGGAACTACAGCAGAATAGCTAAATGCATCTTGTACTGTTTCTACAAGAACATAGTCCTTTATATTATTGAGGTAATGGTATATCAAATATTAGCCTTTCAAACTCTTAACTTTTAAACATTGCATGATTTTCTGAGTTTTAAAATAATTTTAAAATTATCACTCAAGAAAGTAAATATTTCATATTAATAATGAATGGCTTACTTTGTTTTATTGGATTCCTTTTTGTTTTTATTAAAAATATATTCTTAGTGCAAAACTTCGTCATTTATATTTGGGCATAACTATTGCATTGTTCCTATTAAAATTATTTCTGTGTAAGAAATTATTGTTTCCTTATCTGAAGAATAAAATTATTATATTGTCACCAATTAAGCCAGAAGCGCAAGCACATGTGTAAGCCTCGTAATTTGAGATTTACCAATGTTGAAAAAAAACCCTGCATTCTTTCGATTTAATTTCAAAAGAATGCAATTTCAGTGTGGACGCAGGTGAAGTTTTTTTGAAAAAAGGGGGGGTTTTTTTTTTTTTTTTTAAACAATGTAGTCTAGACATACCCTAAGAAACTAGTTACATGTAATAGCTCACTCTTAAAGTTGTTCTAATAAGCTTCTTTCACATACTGGAAAGTCTTCCAGCCTAGGTCCAATCCTTCCTCAGTTCAGTCTTAGATGTTTCCAGCAGTCATCTTGGGAGAGATAGCCAGAGAGAACGCCCTCCCCACACTTAAATAGGCTTTACGTAAGGCAGGAATCCTTCATTCAATCTTAACTGTTCTTTTGCTCTTGTGGAAAAATACAACACCCAAGATGGATCCCAGCATCAGGCGACATGGCCACATATCTTGGTAGAAGCTGCCATAGCCCCTCCTCCCAGAATTACAGGAAAAACAATAGTAATAGAGATGTAGCCATGTTAGTCTAGTCTAGCTGAAACAAAAAACAGAACTATGTAGCACTTTAAAGACGAACAAGTTGGTTTATTAGGTGATGAGATTTTGTGGAAGAAAATAGGCATGACTATATATACCAAAGGGATACAATAAAAAAAAGTGAACACATATAAAAAGGACAAATCAAATTTCAGAACAGAAGGGGGATGGGGGGAGAAGGTAAATGTCTGTGAGCTAATGATATTAGAGGTGATAATTGGGGAAGCTATCTTTGTAATGGGTAAGATAATTAGCGTCTTTGTTAAGACCCTGGCATCAAGTGTCAAATTTAAGCATGAATGACAGTTCAGAGGTTTCTCTTTCAAGTTTGGTGTTAAAATGTCTTTGAAGCAGTATGCAGGTAATCAAGTCGTTGAGAAAATGCCCTTTTTGGTTGAAATGCCAAGAAACTGTTTTTAATTTTGTGATACTGTCTGATATCCATTTTGTGTGCATTGATTCTTTGGCGAAGCGTCTGAGACGTTTGTCCAGTGTACATAGCAGACGGACACTGTCGGCACATGATGACATAAATTATATTTCTGGATGAGCAGGAATACGTGTTCTTGATCTTATAACTGAATTGGTTAGGTCCAATAATGGTGTCAGCAGAGTAAATATGTGGACAAAGCTGGCAACGGGGTTTGTTGCAAGGAAAAGTTCCAGGGTTGGTATTAGTGTGGTATGTCCTGTGGTTGTTGGTAAGAATCATCCTGAGGTTAGGTGGTGTCTGGAGGAGACTATGGGACTGTCTCTCAGAACCTCTCGGCCTGTAGTATCCTGTTCTAGTATAGGTTGTAGTTTATTGATAATGTGTTGGACGGGTTTAAGTTGGGTGCTATAGATGATGACAAGTGGTGGAAAAACAAGTGTTGTCACAGATCATTATCCTGAGTATTTGACTATTAAGTTCCTTAAGTATTACTAATGTCCCTCACTTAGCATGACTAAAATAGTAATACAAGTTTATACTGCATATTTCTAACTTCAAATAGAGGCATAATACATGCATACAAATTGAATAATCATATTCAGTAGATTACAACCTTTCCAATGATATATGAAGTATCTTGTATAAAGCATTGCCCATTTATTTCATATTCATATTTGTAACCATATTCCCATAAAGAATATGGAATGCCGCACAACACCTTGTCTCTTTCCAACTCCATTCCTGGATTGAATTCCTGAATGAGGCAGCAATTCTGTGAAAAAATAATACAAGATCTTACAGTTTAGACTATATCATACCTAGAGTTGCTTGGGAAATTTTTGAAAATAGCCAGTTCATCAAAACCAAGTCTTTTAGCAAGAAAGGTTGAGTTTGATGAAATTTTCATTGGGAAGGTTTCTTCAGTATTTCTGATCAAAATGAATGAACAAATGAAACTCACTCCAAAAAAGTCAGGTGATTAAAGCAGTCACCTTGGATTTGAAAGACCTAGGTTCAAGTCTCTGCTCCAAATCAGGCATAATGAGGGTTTGAATCTAATGTCCTGTAACCCAAGAGTCTATCTACCAAACTGTTGACTTTTCTGGGGTCTGTTTCTCTCTCGGTATATGTTTTTACTTTGAACTGGAGGTGTAAGTTCCAACTTGAGATATACCCACACTTGATGTGATTGAGCTAGTGCGCTAAAAATAAGAGCAGAGCTGTGCTACCAGAAACATTAGCCATGTCAAGTAATATACATCCAAGCTGCAACATATGTACTTGGGGTTGCTAGCATTTCCCATCACCATTTGTGCATGTAGCCTTTCTGTTTTTATCAGGCTAGCTCAGTCAGAGGGTATGTCTACTCGAGCTGACAATTGTACCCCAACCTTGAAGTGCAGACATACGCTTCCTCTCTCTTGCTCTTTCTCTCTCTCTCTCTTTTGTTTTTCAGGAACAATTCCAAAAGCTCTGTTTCATCCCCCCCAAAAATGGGAGAATTTCCAAAATCTCAAAAATGTTTGCAAGATGGTATAAATGTTTTCTACTGAATTCTAATGAGGCTATATATACACATTGTTAGGGATATTTACACATTCATGTATAACGTTAAAGTTGGCATCTTATGACTTTTCAGTGCTTAGCTTTGCAACACTAGCATTCTTTTAACATAATTTTATATGGATATTTGTGTAGAAAATTTTTAAATTAGATTTCCTCTCTGTCTCTCCTCTTTTTTCAGAGCCTTTCTTTCGTTATGATTTTTTCTGCAACTTTCATCACGTTTTTCTCTTGAATGAAATACAAACCCAGTGATGTTTATTTTTTATTCAAACTTCTGAATTCACAATGTTTGTAATTAGGAAAAACAAGTTTGTCCATTCTAAAGCACAGTCAGTTTGGGGGTTTTTTAACTTACATTAGATACAAATTAATTTTAATAAAGTGTTAGCTGAGGCTAATTTTTTTTAATAAAAATCCTCATTTAGTAAAAACTGTCATCTGCAAAAATCAAACCACTTAACTTAGATGCTTAACATTTGGCTCTCTAGGTTTGAAAATTTGCCTTAATTTCTGCTTTTAAAAAGAGAAAAAACTTTTATCTTTTTTCATAAACAATACATCTGTTGAGGATTTTAAACTTTATAATTTTGTTTTATAACATTTTATAAACTTAATAGGATTTGTCTTCTACTTAAAAGAAAATATAACCAAAAGTAATAGAGTGAAAAATTCAAGGGTTTTGAGAAAAGGTCAGAAAGAAAAATTATAATTAAAAAATTAAATGCAGTCCTATCTACAATTTTCATACTTAAAATGTGTTATAAGCATGCAAAGTGAAACACTCAGGGTTATTTGGGATTTACAGGTACTCAGCATCAATATCAGACTAATAGATTGAACATCTCTAGTCTAGCTCCTTTGGGATTTGACGTATGCCGAACCAGTGAATTTGCTGAATCATAGGAGGTCAATATTGTCTAGCAGCATTATCAACATTTCCATAACTTACTGCACTCTTAGAAGACATATAGGGGTAAATTAGAGCTAACTAACGGCACAGAACACTGAGAGCCAGGACTGATTGCTATAAAAAAAACTTCATGGGACCACAGGAAACTTGGCCACATCCATGATAAGTGGACATCCGTATAACTGAAATCATGCCAGACCACAGATGATGCTGGACTAGAGAATGCTAGACTAGAGAGGTTCAACCTGTATTTTGATGCCTAACTTTGTGTATAAAAATTTGAAAAATGTAACCTAATTGATATATTAGTTCTATGGATAGAGCCCTGATATAAAATCTGCATTTTATATCAGCAGATACAGCTAAATAAATTGCCAAGGGAGGTGGTGGAATCTCCCTCTCTGGAGATATTTAAGAACAGGTTGGATAGACATCTGTCAGGGATGGTGTAGACGGAGGTTGGTCCTGCCTTGAGGGCGGGGGGGCTGGACTCGATGACCTCTTGAGGTCCCTTCCAGTCCTATTATTCTATGATTCTATGATTCTATCTGTAGATCATGTTTGTACTGATGTGGATCCAAATTTTATATCCAGAGCCCTTCTGGACTGCAGATATCCATTTTGTATCCGCAGAGTAAGTTTGCAGATCGCAGATCAGATGTGGGTAAAAATTTGGTTCCACACAGGGTTCTGTGTATGTACCATATTTCTTATTCCAGAGAAAATTAGTTGCTGGTATGTGCTAGAAATGGGCATTTTTCAAATCTTAATTTGAAAATGCATTGTTAATATCTATTAATGTTAACTATATATATATATATTGTAACTTAATAGAAAAATACTGTCAGGCTAGAATCTCTCTTTTCAGTTTTTTGTACTGATGGGGCATGGGAGCACAGTTGAATGACCACTTGTAAACTGTTGTTTAATCTGGAGAAATGTTACATTAGGAAAATTTGAAGCTTTTGCTACCACACATATTGGAACTTGTCTTGGAATTTAAAAAATAATGCTATGAGCGGAAAGTCTGAAATTTGCTTTAAAATAAGTTTCTATTAGTTGCTGAGGGTTTTAAAGATAATCTAGTAAAATCTGTCTTTGTTACTATTTATTTAATCTAGGTTGTTGCAGAATAGTAATTTTAATTTTAATTTAAATACTAAGTTTCAGAGTAGGCATTTGTGCAGGGTTATAAAATAATGTCTCTCAATGTTCTTCATTTAGCAAACTAC